ACAACAAATATATCAAAATCACAGGGAAAAAAAAAAAAAAAAAAAACAACTTAAAATTGGTTAAACATATGTTAAAAAAAAAAAAAAAACTTCTTTCAACCTTGATCCCAAATTGTTTCAACAGTATAGCAAAAGTTTGCAAACTAATATTACTTTTAAACCGTATTATTTATTTTTGCATACAATCACAGGGCAGAATAACTAAACAGCAATTTTAGCTGCTTTGTTGGAATACTCCACATAGGATCAGAGCAAACTCTTGACATCTGGTCCACATAGGCTTCAAGAACAAAGTTTGTCTCACCAGACTCCACCTGGGCTTTCCTCTTCTCGAGGGTACCAGGACTTTTTCGTTTGCCAGGTTGTTCAGTCCTGCCAATGGAGGCAAGCTTCCTCACCTTCTTTGGAGGTCTCTGGAACCCTAAGAGCAAAGCAACAGTTTCTCCTCTTCTTGGTTCAGCTCTGTTTCAACTTCCTGGAAGAACTCCACTCAAAGCCACACAATGAAACTCATGTCCAATTTTTTTGTTTGTTTAAGCAAACAAAATCCCTATGGAAGTTATGGAAAAATAGACTCTGTGATAAGCAGTAAAAGATTGCTACCAATAGTTTTATGCTGTGTTGGTATCAAGGGGAAAGAAAACACAAACACAAGTTAAGCTGCTGAAAAAAGAAAAAAACGTAATTTAACATTGGTGCAGATCCTGGTCAGTCAAGACAAGAAAACTCTGTTGAATTAGAACAAAATGCAACAAAATTTCCAGTATTACGTCAAAACTTAATAAAAATCAAGTTTATCTCCAACAGTCTATTCAGTCCTTTGTAGTAAAAATTTTTTAACCCATAAAAAGTTCCATCTATAAGAATATGTTGAGACCAAGTGTATTTTTTTACAGAAACAATTTCTGTAGCTATCAAACAATTGAAGTATACAATATTACAAGGCAACTATCACCATTGACAATTTACATACATATCCGGTCAAGGTGTTACCCGTTTTCCCAAGTGAAAATGCTTCCAGATGTTTTTTGTTTTTTGGGTTTTTTTTTGGCTTGGACTGATGAACTGTTTTTCCAGGAATGGAGGACTTTCACATTCCTCAATGGACAATACCTGGAGAGACTGGTTTTCTTTCACATTGGAACCCTGAAAAATTTTCATCTGAGACTGCATCCCAGCATCCATATATTTGATCTTCATCACTGTGGAAATGGTGGCAAAAAGTGAAAGGGGGAATTGTTAGGGGGAAAGGATGACCTGAACTAATTCCACACAGGCTTTGTGGACTCCACCCCCACTCCAGACCAAAGCCATCAAGACACTGGAAATGACAAATCCCATCATCACCATGGGGAGGGTCGCTGGAACCTGAGGGTGGAGTCAAGCTGCCAGGTTTGGTATAAAACCAGACATGTGGGCCTGGGTTCTCTTGGCCTTCCAGCTTTTGGCTCTTCACCAGCTGTCAGTGTGCCAATAGGATTCCAGGTCAGCGAATGGGTAGGATGCATTTAAGAATTTATCTCCCACTTTTCTCCCTGAGTTGTACATTTCCTCATTTCCCCTTTCCTTGTAAATAAACCTTTTATTAATCTTTTGTGTGTGCCTGCAGTGGAGTATTAATAAGTCCCTTTTAAGCGCGGGGGCGAGGACCCACAGTCAGGCAACCTGTTTTATATCGGGGTTGCCCTGTAACAGTTGGAGTACACCCAGGATAATCTCCCTGATATAATCTGTACTGGGCCTGGTATGCAGAGAGCAAGGTGAAAACAAAGAAAGAGGCAGGCGTTCCAGAGTAGGTGGCTATTTTTTTTTTTTTAAGATTTATTTATTTATTTATACAAGCACTGGGTACAGTCAGAAGCGCTGGAGGGTGAGAGAATTCACCAGAGCCAAAGCAGGGTGCGGAACAGGCAGGAGGACCAAAGTACACTGCTGAGGGGAGCAGCGGGCGGTAGGAGAGGTCTGCGTGCCATGTGGAACTCTCGCCCAGCAGCCAGGGAGTAGCCGGGGATCGAACCGGTGCTGCAGAGGCTGCGGGCAGCTTCGCAACCCAGCGCTCAACCGCTGCGCCACCGGGCAGGCCCGGTAGGTGGCTATTTTAATGAACAAGGAAACTTACTTACGAGGCTTTACCTTGGGCAACCTCAAGACACCACACCACCCCAGCAAATATCAAGGTTTTATGGAGGCTTTGGCTGTATTCAGAGAAACACGCAGTCTCTAAAGTCTCAATTGTTACTGGGAAAAAGTCTAAGAAAATGGACACCAGGTCAGAACCTTTCACCAGGTCTGGGTCTTAGACACTAGTGGCCACATCATGCAAACAAAAGTGCTTTTGGAGACGCAAAAGAAAAAGATCTATTTTAACTAACAGGGTAGAGGACGGAGAAGGTCCAGTTACCAACAGATGGTGGGAGGAGGAGCTGCAGCTGTAGGAGCAGGTGGGGTGCAGCAAGCCCTGACCATCAGAAACTGTGGTCCTCTGCACAGTCTCCCCAAGTCCTGCTGCCACTGGACCAAGTAAGACATGCAGAGACCTGCTACTGCCGAGGTTCTGGGCTGGCGGTCTGGGGGGCAATGTCCTACTGTTACAGGGCAACCCCGATATAAAATGGGTTGCCTGACTGTGGGTCCTCACCCGGGCCCTTAAGAGGGACTTATTAATACTCAACTGCAGGCACACACAAGGGTTAATAAAAGGTTTATGTACAAGGAAAGGGGAAATGAGGAAATGTACAACTCAGGGAGAAAAGAGGGAGACAAATTCTTAAATATGTCCTACCCGTTTCGCCAACCTGGTATCCCAATGGCACACTGACAGCTGGTGAAGAGCTAAGAGCTTTGAAGTCAAGAGAGGGCCCCAAGGCCCACGTGTCTGGTTTTATATCAAACCTGGCAGCTTGACTCCACCCTCAGGTCCCAGCAACCCTCCCTTTGGTGATGATGGGATTTGTCATTTCCAGTATCTTGATGGCTTTGATCTGGAGTTGGGGTGGAGGCCACAAAGCCTGTATGGAATTAGCTCAGGACATCCTTTCCCTCTAACACTCATCACAGTCAAATGAATTTTTTCCTCTTTGGGAAAAAAAGCAAGTAAAATGACTATAATTTAATGTTTTCAAGTAAGTTCAAGATGTGGCTATCTTTTTCAGAATTCCTGAGGAATTCTTTGGCCAAAATGTGTACTGGCTGGCACCTTTTGTTCAAACAAACAGGAGCATCGATTGTGCCTTGTTGAATTCCCCTCCAATCACAGCAAGGAATGATGTTAAATGCTATAAATGGAAATCATTTCTGCTTCTGGAGAGGTCGAAAAGGGCTTCTATTTCTCATTTTTACAAAAGTTTGGATGTGAGCAAAACCTTTTATATCTTCACCAATCTCAAAGTTTGTTGGGTGATGGAAGTCCAAATTTACTCTGATATGCTATGAAAAATCATCTCATGAGAAAAGAAGAAAACCAATTTTGAAATATTAATTATGTCCAACATTAAATAAAAATTTTAACTGGAAATTCATATATTTTTATTGATTACTGTATCACTTGGTTCTAAAGTGTCAGCATGCCATATAGCTAACATGCAACAGCCCTGAGAGAGAAAAACAATGCAAATAAACTTTTTTTTTTTTTAAGATAGGTAGGTTATAGAAATCCTGGCCTATGCATAGTTTTGCTTGCTCTCTTGCCTGTGCCTTGAATATGTCTCCTCTATTGGGCATAAGATTCTCTAGGGTCACATTTAAGTGCCAAAAACATGTAGTGCACGCCAGCTTGTGTGCTTCTAGTGACCAAACTGTGTTAGATTATTTTAATCCAATATTTTGCTCCATTATTAATTTATAGTAAATGATGTATTTGCTTTCTAGGCATGAATACCTAGAAATACATGGAAAACCAGAGAAACTGGCCTCTAATCCGTATGGTAGAATCCATTGGGTGAATTGCTTTCATGATAGCCCACCATTTATCTAGAATATAATCTTTACATATTGAAGCTTTTCAAACTGGACCAAAATCAGGCTGCTAGGCTCAATTAGAGAACTGTGGAATGGTGTTGCATTGACAATGGTGACCCCTGGCCTGAGACTGCTGAAACTAGAGCATGGTGTGGACAGTGGTCACTGTGGTAGACTGGGCGTGCACATGCTCTGTTTATGGCAGGTATAAATACCCTAAAAACTACTGCAAAAATGGTAGGTAACTCATGATGCCATAAAGAGGGACCACAGTCCAGAGCAGGAACTCTGGAATCCCACAAGCTAGGTTCAAATCTTGGTTGAGCCACTAGTACCTGTGTGACCTAAGGAAGGTCCAAAATTTAAATGTTGTTTTATGAAATGTATGTAAAGGAGGCGAGAGGACACACCCGCGGGGAAGGGAGATGGTGCAGGTCCAGTCCTGGGGCACCGCAGGCCACCAGGTGACAGCACGGCCACAGCCCACCCTGGGAAACCTGGTGATGAGGGCGCCTGAGTGGCCATGGAGAGGGCGGTGGTGCAGAGATATTGGGCAGGATGGTGGTGGGAGGGGTAGGGGGTTGCTGAAAAGAATGGGGCAGTGCTTGAGGGGAGTGGGGGGGTGTTCCCTCACTTTCTGCAGGCTCAGTCCTTAGGGACCGGTGATGGGGGAGAGGAGCGGAGCACGAGGGCCCCCTAAGCAACCCAGACGCGGAATGCTAAACCCCGTCCAGCGGGGGAGAGCTCTGGCAGATGGGATCTCTGGGGTCCCAGGAGCCCCCACAGAGTGACCCATCTGATGCCCACACCTGCATCTGCTGGGACGGTCGGAGAAGAGACAGGACGATGGGGTCTTGCCCTTGGCTGGATGACGTGGCCGCCGGCTCGCGTCAGCCCCCTGCCCTCCTCTGTGACGTCCCAAGGACCGTCACAGTCCCCGAGGCGGCCAGTGCGCGCTAGATCCCCGGAGGAGAAGGAAGCCCAGGGACTGCTCTCCCCGCTTCCCGATCAGTTCGCGGTCGTTGGCGCACTTTCCGCCCGCAATGGGCAATCTACTGAGTAAATATCGGTGTCTCTGCCACCGCCTGCAGCAACTCCACCGCGGCAGGCCTCTCATTGGCCGGCGCCCGCCTGGACAACCTCGTGTCCACCCCGCTGGGCCTGGCCGGGTGCCCCCAGCCGCTCCGGCCCCTGCCAGCCCGCCGGCTCCCAGGAGCTTCCACCGGCAGCGCTCGCCATCACCACCCGGCGTCAACATCGCGCCCCCAAGGCGATGCACCATCACGCCTGCCCTGTGCTCCGGTGTGGGGAGGCTCCCCCCCGCATCATGGGGGAACCCCCCCAAGAAGCCTGTGCTCTCGGCTCGCAATTCAATGACATTTGGGCGCTGTAGAGCCAGAATTATTCCTGCCATTCGTGGCAAATGTCATCTCTCCTCCTTACCATTCAAACTAGACCCTGAGTGGAAGAGAGGAGACTCCTCCTGTCACCCGTGCCCAAGACCTGCCCGGGAGGATACGGAGGTGAAGGTGGAAGAACCACCGAACATCGCAGAGGAGGAGGACGTGTCCACACCACCCGGAGAACCGTCCAGTGAGGCCTCTGCGATGCCTGCCCCCAGCTCCCCGGGAGACCTCGCAGGGGAGGCTGTGCCTCCGAAGAGGCCAGAGGAGGGGGCAGCCACATCCTGTGGGCCAGCCCCAGGTGGCTTCCCGCCACCGGAAGAGCTGGCTGAAGACCATCCACCAGTCTCATCAACATCTCGAGACGTAAAGGCTGAAGACCATCCACCAGTCTCATCAACATCTCGAGACGTAAAGGCTGAAGACCATCCACCAGTCTCATCAACATCTCGAGACGTAAAGGCTGAAGACCATCCACCAGTCTCATCAACATCGCAACACGTGAAGGGCAAAAAGTCCTCGAGCCAGTTGAGTTCCACTCCACCGGACTCTGGCCGCTCAAGGGCCTGCAAGCACAAAAGGCCCATGCCACTGCCCAGGCCAAGTCTTCCGTGGGAGAGAGGTGAGCTGCCCCCACCCTCTAAGCTCCCCTATCTTGCGGTGGACACAGAGGAGAGCCCTGTGAAACTGGGTGAAACTGACCCTCGTGCCCCTCAATTTGTCCGGATTGTTCCAGCTTATCCACCGCAGGCAGCAAATCTTGATAGAGAAGGAGGCCGCATGATCCTTCATTCACCTCGTGTGGCTATTGACAGCCGTATTCCCATCAGCTGTCATCCAGTGTGGAAGATCCCTCTGGTTCATACAGATTCCATCATCGTGACGACATCGCGTATATCACACACCCGCATGCCCCTGAGCCCCCCAACCTCTCTCCAGCCCCCCGTCTCTAAAAACCAATCCCCAACCCCTATGTGTGTAGATTCTCCCCTTCCCAGTGTCCTAGCTTCCCCTGCCCCAGCCCCTCCTACCCAGGCCCTTGTTTCCGCTGTCCAGCCCGCCACTCCCTCAACCTCTCTCCAGCCCCCCGTCTCTAAAAACCAATCCCCAACCCCTATGTGTGTAGATTCTCCCCTTCCCAGTGTCCTCGCTTCCCCTGCCCCAGCCCCTCCTACCCAGGCTCTTGTTTCCGCTGTCCAGCCCGCCACTCCCTCAACCTCTCTCCAGCCCCCCGTCTCTAAAAACCAATCCCCAACCCCTATGTGTGTAGATTCTCCCCTTCCCAGTGTCCTCGCTTCCCTGCCCCAGCCCCTCCTACCCAGGCCCTTGTTTCCGCTGTCCAGCCCGCCACTCCCTCAACCTCTCTCCAGCCCCCCGTCTCTAAAAACCAATCCCCAACCCCTATGTGTGTAGATTCTCCCCTTCCCAGTGTCCTCGCTTCCCCTGCCCCAGCCCCTCCTACCCAGGCCCTGACCTCGGCTGGCCAGCCCACCAGGCCTCTGGCTGCCCCTCCCACCATTAAAGCCCAGCGACCTGCACCAGCTGTTCCAGCTGCACCAGCTGTGTCAGATAACAACGTCAGTGCCATGGACACAACTTCCCCGTCGCTGGCGGTGATATTCAGGTCTGCAGCACAGTCAGGTGGGCTGGGGGGCCCCCTGTATTGGAATCATCCAGTTACCCCCCACACCGCCTGCAGAAAGCATGTCAGCTGCAAAAATCTAGTACATCCCTATAGGATACCAGCTTATCACAGACAAAGACTGCACCAAGCGGGCGCTGGTAGATCATAATGTCATGGAACATTTTCTTACCAGACACCAGCTGTCCGAGGATGAGTGAAAGCAAATATTTTTATTTTGTTTTGATTTAATTTGCAGTGAAAAAAATATTTTGGTGAAAGTAAGATGTAAATATTTATGTACATATATTATAGGATGTAAATACGTTATTGAAAGTATATTGAGAAAAAAAAATAATGTAACCTAGCTCAGGGAAAGGATGTAAACCGAGTGATCACAAAGCACTTGGGCTTGGAGGTGAGCTCAAGGTCAGCCTGTTCTACTGTGGGACTGAGAGCCGCCTCACCCCTTCGAGATCCTCTGGAGAAGACTCGAACATGGTTCTGGGGCTGCAGCCGCAGAGCGTCCCTGTGGAGCTGAGATGGGATTCGAGCCACCGAGTTCAAGAGACTGAACACGAGCTGCCGAGCCACAGACACGCTTCCCTGGGGACTACAGAGACTTTGCCATAAGTGATCACTTGAGGGACACAGCAATAGGGTAGTGTTAGGCATGGTGTTTGATTGTGTGCGACTTGTGTGAATAAAGCATATTGAAAGACACCATTTATGGTCAGAGCTTTATTGGTGACACCTGCCCTGAGGAAGCCCACCAAGGTGGTCTGCTTCCCGCTGGCGTACCTCCCCTCCCAAATCTGGGACACCCCGTGACAAACAGAAGAAGCCCCTGTACCCCAGGCTCCTGTTTACTCCAGCCTACCCCCCACGGGGTCTACAGCCACTCACAGTTTAACAGGCAGTGCCTCAGCGCCTGCCACTGAAGCAGCCTACCCCCCAAGGGGTCTACAGCCACTCACAGTTTAACAGGCAGTGCCTCAGCACCTGCCACTGAAGCCAATACTGAAGATGTGGACATTGTTGTGTCGGGCAACACCACACTGATAAAGAAATGGGAGTCATGGAGCAGGCTACATAATGCAGGATGCTGCTGAAGAGCAAGATCCTGGCCTTTTTATTGATTTACAGCATGGGTTGTAAGGGGGAGGAGCAAAAGGAAATGGGAAGGAGATTAAAGAAAGGGGAGAAATGTAGAAGATCAGGGATTGTGAGTCTGCCCTCCAGGCAATGCTCATCTGCTTGATGACTAGGTGTTGTCATTGAGATCACACCCTAATCCCCCAGCCATGGTTTTAATCTTATCAACAAGGCCTTCCACTGATCGGCCTCTGGGGTCTCTTGTCATACATCTGTCCTCAGCCTCCCGGGTGTTCCAGGTCATACCTCATGATGCATAGCCTTCCCAGCGTGATCCAGCTGTGTGCTCTTGTTTGATTTGAAGGGCACCTTGAAGGGTTGGGCTCTGTACCTAACTGACTGGGCCATCTTGACCTTGCTTAGAACTATAGGTGACAAAATAGTGGCCAAACGATCTGCTTAGGAGTAGCAGACCCACAGACACCACTCCTCAGGACCAAGCAGTCACCTGTTCACCTACCCCTGCCTCTGAGAGCCATATCCCACATTGCACAGTGCCTCCAACCTCTCAGGCCCAGTAGCTCTTACTCTGCCTAAGTTGGGGACCAAAGATATGAATGGGTATGACAGCTCTTCTCAACTGGAAAAGCTGGTATTGTTAGAGGGCAAACCTGATATGAAACAGGTTGCCTGACTGTGGGTCCTCACCCGGGCACTTAAAAGGGACTTATTAATACTCCACTGCAGGCACACACAAAGGTTAATAAAAGGTTTATTTACAAGGGAAAGGGAAATGAGGAAATGTACAACTCAGGGAGAAAAGGGGGAGATCAATTCTTAAATTCATCCTACCTGTTCCACTGACCTGGAAACCCAATGGCACGCTGAGAGCTGGCAGACAGTCAAGAGCTGTGAAGCCAAGAGGAGCCCCCCAAGGCCCATGTGTCTGGTTTATACCAAACCTGGCTGCTTAACTCCACCCTCAGGTCCCAGCAACCCTCACTGTGGTGATGATGGGATTTGTCATTTCCAGTGTCTTGATGGCTTTGGTCTGGAGTGGGGGTGGAGTCCACAAAGCCTGTATGGAATTAGCTTAGGACATCCTTTCCCCTTAACAATTCCCCCTTTTCATTTTTTGCCACCATTTCCATGGTGATGAAGATCAAATATATGGATTCGGGGATACAGTCTCAGATGAAAATTTTTCAGGGTTCCAGTGTGAAAGAAAACCAGTCTTTCCAGGTATTGTCCATTGTGGAAAGCAAAAGTCCTCCATTCCTGGAAAAACAGTTCATCCGTCTAAGCCAAAAAACAAAAACGAGCAAACAAACAAAAAACATCTGGGGGCATTAGCCAAAATAAGACAGCAAAAATATCAAAATCACAGGAAAAAAATCTTAAAATTGGTTCAACTTATGTAAAAAACAAATTCTCTCAACCTTGAGCCCAAATTGTTTCAACAGCATAGCAAAAGTTTGCAAACTAAATCTCCTTTTAAACCATATTACCTATTTTTGCATACAATCATAGGGCAGAATAACTAAACAACAATTTTAGCTGCTTTGTTGGAATACTCCATATAGGATCAGAGCAAACTCTTGACATCTGGTCCACATAGGCTTCAAGAACAAGGTTGGTCTCATCAGACTCCACCTGGGCTTTCCTCTTCTCGAGGGTACCCGGACTTTTTTGTTTGCCAGGTTGTCCAGTCATGCCAATGGAGGCAAGCTTCCTCACCTTCTTTGGAGGTCTCTGGAACACCCCGAACAAAGCAACAGTTTCTCCTCTTCTTGGTTCAGCTCTGTTTCAACTTCCTGGAAGAACTCTACTCAAAGCCACACAATGAAACCCATGTTCAATTTTTTACTTTAAGCAGGCAAAATCCCTATGGAAGTTATGCAAAAACAGACTCTGAGATAAGTAGTTAAAAAAAAAAAATTACTACCACTATTTTTATGCTGTGTTGGTATCAAGGGGAAAGAAAATGTGAACACAAGCTAGCTCTGCTGAAAAAAGAAAAAATTTCAACATTGCTGCAGGTACTGGTCAATCGAAACAAGAAAATTTTTGTGGATTCAGAACAAAATCCAAAAAAAGGAAATTATCAGTATTATGTTAAAACTTAGTAAAAATCTGGTGAATCTCCAGGTCTATTCAGTCCTTTGTAGGAAATGTTTACTCTCAACAGTTCCATCAACAGGAATCTGTTGAGGCCTTTTCACCCTATTTTCTCCAGAAACAATTTCTGTCGATAAACAATTGAAGTATACAATATTACAAGGCGACAATTACCATTGACAATTTAAACATATATCATGTCAAGGTGTTACCCCTTTTCCCAAGTGACAATGCTTCGGGTCTAGTTTACTCTACTAGGTAAGCCAAATAGAACAAATTCATCTAATGCCTTTGCCAGGAGGAAAGGGAGAAACTTTGTGGAGTGTCTCAGGAGCTCTACTGAGGTTCCACAAAACTTCCTTGCATCTGCCAAATGACAGGCTACCAAATTTGTGCTTGAATTTAGATTTCTGGGAAGCTTTGCCATAAATATCAGAAAAATAACAGAAACAACAATATTCAATCTCTATGAAGGCACCGGCTAGTTCAGTAGTACAATGTTGACAATCAAACCATAACCTTTAGTGTTTTTTTTTTTTTCCATAACTGGAGACTCTTTTTTTTCAATGTCTATAGGCACCATGTATGCCAATTGTTCAACCTCTAGAAGCCAAGACAGTTAGACACAAGGACATACAGACATACAACATATAGACAAAGACAGTTTTTTTAAGTTATGCCATGTGGAATATGTTATGTAACTACAGTTTTACTCCATAGGCTCATAAAAAAATGTCAAAGTTCAAAAAAATGTGGAGTGTTGATGGCAGAAATCACAGGTTCCTGTTGTCATCCTACAAACCTAAAACTTTGGAAATAGGAAGAAAAAGTTTTATTAATCACAAGAGTTACATGACCTTGTTTATCACTTCAGGGTTTTCACTATTCGAGACTTTTTATTATAAGCCAACCCTGGGGTATCCTGTACAGCAGCTGAAAGAGCAAAATCAACAGTTAACTTTTAAGCAAAAGGAGTCATCTCTTGTTAGGCACCAAGCAGGCACTCCTTGGGTTTCCTCGAACTGAACCTGAAAGAGCAAAATCAAAATATCAGCAATTAAAAGGAGTCATCTCCTTACTTCTGTTAGCCACTCTCGGACAGAAGCTGAAAGAGCAGATTCAACATCAAAGCACAGATTACACCTCCCCCACACTAGGGAGGGACAGTAACAACACAGGTATGAAAACCTGGTACAGTTACAAGATGCACCATAAAGAGTGCTTTCCACAACAGACCTTCCTCAGTAGGAAGCAGAAACTTAGAACCTTGTCTTACACCAGCAATTAAATCCAGAATTCAAATGGCAAACATGCCCAAAACAAATTGCATAGACAAAATTCACAGCAGCAAATCCTTTCAGACTCAGACAAAATCTTTTTAATTTTCTGATCCAGACTTTGCAAAAATTGAGGTTATCTCCAAGAATCCATCAAGGCTACCAGCAATTACCAGTTACTGCTTAAGGCTACTCTTTCCTTAACACCCAGGCATACATTTGCTAATTTAAACACCACTCCACAGTTGGCTTGCAAAACCCCTCTGGCAGAGGTCAGGAAGTAGTCAAAGAAAAAGCAACAT